GGCGAGCCCCGCGGAGGACGTGCCTGCGTGAGGCGCCACCGGGGCTGTTGGAGGCGGAGCAGACGCTAGGGGCGGGGCCAGGTAGCACTAGCACCCGAGGTTGGTGCTGAGGCTGCAAGAGCTTATCGCTCCCCTCAGCTCTCAGGCTTTCTGCGTTTTCTGGCGGGAGCTCTTTTCGAGGACCTCGGAGTCCCACAACCAGAACCCCCTAAAGGGTGGTAACCATCCATCACCCACAAAAACACAGTCTCGGTCTAGGCTGTTTTCCTCTTCCCTCGGAATATCCTGAGCTCGGCATTAGATCTCAAATACTGTACACACAGGCACACACACCTGCTAAACAAATCTGCGTAAAAGGTTAATTGTGGAGGCTGTCAAATGTGACTGATTTTTTCCAAGGATGGACTCAAAATTATGAGGCTATGAAGAACGGTGACACTAAGGGCCATCTACGTAAACAAGAACGCGTTCTTGAACTCAGAACAATAAAACCAAGAAATGAAAAAAAGCTTAAAAACATGAAGAATTATTACTTCAGGAAATAAACTTTGGGACTCTGTAAGACATGTTTTTAACGAGGCTTATGTTTGAGGGACCACACTACTAATGAATCATGATGAGAAAACAGTTGTGGAAAAACAATCAATCTCTTAAGCACTCCACTTGCGGAAATTTAGATTCACAGAAACCCATGGTACCATTGACAGAAAATAAAGTTTATCTGATCGCAATTTTAACACATGCAAAAAGAAAGACTTTGTACAAAAAATCACCACCTCATCTTTGCATTTACTTACAGTGTCCACAAATTTATGTAGTTTTGCATGAAATCAACATTTTCATACAACTATATATTTTGCTGTTTCTCCTTACCACACACTAACTTTTTCTCGTGTTTTTATAGTCCTACTAATTATTTTTAAGAGAGACAGAATATTCCCTTAAGTAGTCAGTCTTGATTCAACATCAGTGCCCTTGATTCAACATCAGTACCCCAAAACTAGAAGAAAACACAAAGAACAGAAGAATGAACACAACCGTCTTAAATGTAAAACCACCAAGAAAACTGGTGTTTTGTTCCTAGTGTACCTGTCACAATTCTATACCCACAGGGTATAGACACCATGTAAAGTGACTCAACCAACAACTAACCTGAGCTCACCTATCTTCCTCATCAAATTCAATGAGACGACCAAAAAATTTACATCAGTGCTCTTTGAACTGAAATCTGCATTCCCCAGCAATTTTCAAGAGGTAGCTTTAATTTCTAAACGTTCAACCTGCATCTGCATTTTCCCCTAAAACCGATTGTCTCCAGAAGGCAATCAAAGTCTGTCCCTGTGTTGTTTCCAGCTCTTTCAAAGCAGCCCTGTATATCACAAACTGCAATAAAATACCCCCTTAAGGTCACCAGGTTAGTTTATAAACCGGAAGGATAAATTTGAGTGACTTTAATGGGACAAAAGTCCTTAAAGCCCCAACCATTGTGTGAAGAGAAAAATTATTTAAAATATGCTCTAGGTTAAGAAGAATTTATTCACATGTTTTTAAAATGGTTCATGGTAGACATAATTGCTGTGGTATTTAGATTCCATTGGATTCATTGAATGACTGTTCTATTTTAAAATACCATTGTTTGCAGTATGCATGAAACTACTTCTTTTGCAACTATTTAAAGGTATGATGATAAGTTTTAGATGTCAACCAAGAAATATGCAAAGGGATTCAGTTTCAGATGTAGATGAGTGAAAATGTTTAAAGACCACTGGTTTACTGTGAACTCCCTATGAAGGTTGTCTTTCATAGATTTTAGCAACATTTGTTTTTCTAATTTTTTTTCATAATTGTTCTGTATTCTTCAATAGAAATTCAACTAAAATAACATTTTCTGTCTTTTTTTTCCCCCCTGAAAGATCTTAGCATTGTTTTCTAGGCACCAGCCTCCTCCCAACCCTATGTGAATGAAAAAGAAATGTTTTGCTTGGCTTGTTTGGTTTAGGTTGGATCGGTTTGATTCTTAAAGTTGTTGATTCCATTAATCATCATTTCCTGTCTCCTCAAGAGCCTTGGAAATCTGGGAGTTGGGGAGCCTTGAGAGGAGGGCATAACAAATAAAGTCAAGGACTTGAGTTTAAGAGAATCTGCAGATGATAGAGGTGGGAATTCAAGGACTAAAAAGGAAGAAAGGAGCAGAGAAGTCTCTGAAGTACCCTTTCTGGTTTAGGCTTCCAGGGGATAGCAGACAAAAAGCAGAAACCTAGTAAGGCTTCAGACCCAGATTATCCCTGAGGGGTGCTCTGAGTCTCAGCGTCACAGCCCTGACTCATCCACCCTGCCCCGCCGCCAGGCTTCACAAGTGCCTATGAGGACACTTCCCCCAAAGGCTCCAGACACTCTAAGCCCAGAGGGAATATACCCATTACCTGGCAGGGTGACGGGGGCACCTTTATTATTAAAACTATTAAACACTCTAAGTTTATAAATTGTTTTCTTCTTTTAAAGTTTTGCTTTGAGATACATTTTCAGGAGTGGAATTATAGAATCATTTTCTGATTTTTCATCTACATCATCACACTGCTTTCCCCCAAAGTTAGATGGATCTGATATACCAATGGTGAGGGAGTGTGCTGATTTCACCAAAGCTTTTCCCCAGTGGTTTTTTCTTTTAATTTTTGCTAGCTTGGTATGTGTAATATGCTACATCAGATTTGCCCAAATTTGCCTGGCCACCCTCAGGATTTCCTCCCCCACCCCCCATGTAACATCCTATAATTGGTAAATTATTCCTCCTACAGTATTTCTTCTAAGGATTTTCAGATGCTTAGCTCTTACTTGTCTCTGCTTTAACAAGAAACTTCAATGAAGCAGTCCATTATTTGCAGTTTCATTAACACACACGAACTTTTTCTAATTTGGGGAAAGACCAGAAAAAAAAAAACACCTTTTTTTTTAATTAACATATAGGGCAACGATTTGATTGAGAGAAATATGAAGGAATTCTACTTTTTTTAAATAATAGTTTATTTGTACATCATTTTGTGCCTTTTTCCATCTCAGTTGCAATCCCCCTGGGCTTTCACCAATTCACCCATAGTCCAGTGCACTTCCCCCCTCCTCCCATTTTTGATCCCATTCCCCACTCCACCCCCCTAAAATGTCTCTGGTATACAGTTGTTCATTATTATTATTATTATTATTATTATTATTATTATTATTATTATTATTATTTTCTCCCCTGGTCTTTTATACTCCTTCTATGAGTTAAACCATCTAGTATTTTTCCTTTTCTTTCTGGCTTATTTCATTAAGCATGATCCCTTCCAGCTCCATCCATTCTGCTGAAAAGGCATGTGCTTTTTTTTGTTGCTGAGTAATATTCCATGTGTATATGTACCACATCTTTTTAATCCAGTCATCTACTTTTGGGCATTTGGGTTGATTCCATGTCTTTCCTATTGTAAATAAAGCAGCAATAAACATGGGGGAGCAGGTGTCTTTTTGAGTCAATGTTTTTGTGTTTTCTGGGTAGATACTTAGATGTGGGATTGCTGGGTCATATGAAAGCTCCTTTGTTAGCAGTTTGAGAAACCTCCAAATAGCTTTC